GTGTATAAAGGTTTAAATTAATCTCTCCAATCAATGCGCAAAAACTTGTAAAGAAAAAGTCGAAAAACAATTTATTAGCACATATTTAAGAAGAGTTTATTATTGGATCTTACGGACCATTCTGGCACGGTGAGAAGCCACAACCATTTCCGGTTTTTGCCTAGAATCAACAGCTTTTCAATGCAGTTGTCAACGGGCAGTTTTTCTCTTTCTTTCTCTTTTCAAGAACTTACCGTGATCACTTCACAGAGAGTCGCACAAACCACCCAAGTTGGTAGCATGTTTTCCCATTGTCCCAGCGGATACGTGCCACCAGCTGGATCTGTGGACGCAATGTAGAACTGAAAGAAAGATTTTGATCAGAGCAGAGCAAATACAAAACTTGGACCTATTGTTTGCCCGCAACCCTTCACCAATAAGTTCAAATCAATGCAAGTTCTTTTATATTTTAAGAGCTTATTTTTTATGTTCTACATTCACGTTTACAAATTCTTAGTTAGTCACAGTTTTATGCGTGCTCTCAATTCGGATCTAACAATACCGTTGCACTGCTGGCTGCATCTGTTTCTGCTGGACTGTTTCCGTTTGGCTCTCCTGGGGCCCAGTTTCTGAAAACGCCGGATAAAAACACGGAAAATGTACAAAACCGATAAGTTGAGTTGGCACCATTTGACCAGGCAATCCCACTCGTCGTTGTCACATTGTTAATCCCCAATAACATTTGCTAAAGCTCAAAGTTAAAAAGAAATTTTCAGCACAACTCACACTATAGAAGAAATTTCCAAACGTTGAACATTGAGTCTTCAAATCAGCTGGTACAAGATCTAAGACCTATTTTGAAAACAATCACCACTCAATCACTAACTGGCAACTCCTGTATTCTCCGAATCACATCGAATCGTGCCCAAGTCAGCATTGGGATTCAATGCCTGACATTTGGCTCTAGCTCCACCAATGTAAGAGTCATTGATGAAGATTGCTTGATAACACGATCCACCGACATCAATGAAGCCACCACCAACAGCTGCACAATCGGCATAGGTTGTGGTGGGTACCTGGAGATGTTGATCCTTTTGCTTTAAAATAGGCTAGAACCATTCTTGAGAAGCTACTTAAGCAACCTCATTTATTGTGTCAAACATAAAAACCTAATTGCCTATGTTCTCAACGTTTACCGAAGTTGTGACACATGGTAGCGCTGGTGTCGTTGTGGTCGTAGTTGTGGTTGTTGTCGATGTCGTCGTTTTCTTTGTCGTTGTCGTTTTCTTTGTCGTTGTCGTTGTGGTCGGCTTCTTCGTTGTCTTCGTTGTGGGCTTTGTGGTAGCCTTTTTGGTTGTTGTCTTAAATAGTTCATTAGCTACAAAATAGTGTAGGTTAGTTTAATGGGGAAAAGTAAACACTGTACTCTAGTAAACAGTGTACTTGTAAGTTGTAAGTATGTGTAACCATAGAACTCGGATGCTTTCAAATGTTTCCCTAACTCTTCCGACAAACCGTGCATAAGGGCATTTGCAAAACGGGATCCTGTGGCAGGCCGACACCGCAAACCCTTTTGCCAGTCACAAGATTCGTCACCTAATCCAAAAAGTGATTGGCTCTTAACATAAGGCTCTAACCGCTTTCGTATCCAATGCACACACATCTCCTGGACAGGCGAGTTTGGGACAATGAATCGTTCTTGTTGAGGAGCCGCTAAATGAATGGAGATATTGGTGGATGTTAGAGTCGGCGTGGTAGACAATTTAAACACACTTCACTTTTAGAGCTCAAATTTCTTCTGTTCGATTCAAAGTTTATGTGTGTACAAAAGCGACTTAAAAACTCACGTGCATTTGTGGCCTTTGCTTTCCGACAAGCAAGTTCTATTCTGAGTGACCATTCCGTTGAGTCCACAGGTTGCCGTGCATGGTGCCGTCGATTTCCAGCCACTCCAAATGCCAAGATTTGGGAAAGCACAGTGTGCGAGGACTTCTGAAACCATTTCTTTCAGATCTATCTTCAATGTATTACTTGTGATTCGACACTTTGGCATCACATAGTCACTCGGCAGAGTCACGTTTCCACAGAGAACTTCCTCGAGTTTGGAGTTGTGGTACTGAAATGGTAAATTCTGTCTTTTTAGCTGTCTGGTAGAACTTTAGCCAATAAACGAAAAACTTACGAGTGAATATCCCTCAGCACAGGCATTCGAGTCATCAGGACATGGCTTCGGAGCACATGGTCTTGTTCGAGAATATGGTCCCCTGGAAAGATTTGAATGGTTGTTTTTTAAAGGTACTGAAACAATTTTGTATTGTTCAGTTACTCACTGGCATGGACATCCCCATTTCCATGTGAGACACGTCCTCTTTTGAACTTTTCTTCCGAATAAACCACACGTGCCTGTACAGCTCGTATAGTCTTCCCACCTTGACCAGTGTCCTGGAATTTGTTGCGTGATCACTTGTTGACGTTGATGTTTTTGTTAAGTTTAAAAAATTTACCAGCTGCTGGACACTTTGAACAAATGGGGAGAGAGGCTAGCGCGGTGCTTGCTGAAAGATCACTATCATAACTGTGTTCATCTTGAGTTGTAATTTAGCTAGCTAAGGTGAATAATGAGAAGTTAAGTTCAAGTTAAGCTGACATAGCTATTCTAAATCTCAAGTTACTTACACAAAGTCTGGTGTACTGTTACAGAACTGACGATAGATTACAAGTTGCATATTTAGTGACACGAGCTTACAATTATAGTGTCTTATATTTATAAACAAGCTGTTCACCCCAAAACCTACCATATAGCCCGATCACAGCACAGATGATGAGCATGTTGGAATGAGCAATAAGTTGTTCGAGTGACTCTTGTCTAAGTGACTCTGGTGGCTGATCTACATGCCTTTGACGCCTTTCACCCCTTTTATAGATGAATTCGAAACGCATTTTGAACCTCAATAGCAAAATTTGATTCAACTTCAAAGTCCATTGAAAGGGACTACAATAGTCTGAAAAAGAGTCGAGGTGATCGATTTTCGATCACCGCTAATTTTGAAACTGGAAAATTTTGCTTCCGAGTCAGGACAATGACTTTTATAACAATGGAATCAAAAGGAACTCTTGGTTTTTTTAAATTCAGCCCGAATATTTTAATTTCAGCGCCAGGATGGACCAGGAACGAGATTTTTCATCGTGGAAGCTTCTACAGACTGTCAAATGGTCTGGGACATTGTTTGAACTCACGCAGGCAATGGATCTTATGAAAGACTTTTATAACAATGGGATCAAAAGGAACTCTGGATTTTGCGTGCGTGCAAAGGTGCACATTTTTTTCAAAACTACCGTAGCCAAACGATCAACGTCTACTAAACAACAAAAAAGGCACAAGTACCTTATTTTCTGTAATAGTAGTGCAGGCAGGTGGCGGATAGACTCAATCTAAATCAGGCGTCCGATTTAGATTTTGAGTCTAAATGCGACGTCTGATTTAGACTCAGTTGTTGTTTTATGTTTTACAGAAGTTTTCAGAATTTTTTTATCGGTTATGAATTGCAAACAAGTTTATTTTTAGAACAAACAACAAAAGATGCGAAAACAACAAGATTGAACAATACATAATCAACTTAAATTAGACTGCAACAACTGCAATTTTTTGTACAATGTTTCAAAAACGAACTTTGATATCCCGTAGTAAATCTTAAGATGTGGCCACATCAATCCAATGCCAGCTTAACAGAGGTGTGTTTGCTGAAGGATTTCATAAAGTTCTTCTTGATAGACAACTTTTTGTGGCTTCACTTCTGTTTTGCGCTTTGCTGTTTGTTCACCTTCATGATATAGAACTGATTTTTCACTCTCAATCGATACGATATATCTCTTCAACAGATTTGCTTCCTGGTGACGGTTTACTCCATCGGTCGCTTTCACCTCTTCTTGGTTTTCATGTTTTTTGATGCGATCCACCATCAAGTTGTAGATCTCCTTTGTCGGAATTTGACCAGTTTTCTTCTCAGCTAGATAGTGCTGGAATTTCGCATCAAACATAGCTCTCGTTCCTGGCAATATACAACTTTTACCAAGTATGCAACTTAAGAACCTAACTTAAAGAAAAACCAAGTACCATGTAATTAAAGAATCTATTAACAATAACAAAGCAATAAAGTATACCTGAATCTGATGTTGTGCCGAGCAACTCGCTTATCACTTTTTCCTCGCGCTCATCGCTTTCTCCATCGAGTGTACCTGACTCATTTGTTGTGTCGAGCACGCATTGGATTGATGTGTCAACATCTTAAGATTTACTACGGGATATCAAAGTTCGTTTTTGAAACATTGTACAAAAAATTGCAGTTGTTGCAATCTAATTTAAGTTGATTATGTATTGTTCAATCTTGTTGTTTTCGCATCTTTTGTTGTTTGTTCTAAAAATAAACTTGTTTGCAATTCATAGCCGATAAAAAAATTCTGAAAACTTCTGTAAAACATAAAACAACAACTGAGTCTAAATCAGACGTCGCATTTAGACTCTAAATCTAAATCGGACGTCTGATTTAGATTGAGTCTAAATCGGACGTCTGATTTAGATTGAGTCTATCCGCCACCTGCCTGCACTACTATTACAGAAAATAAGGTACTTGTGCCTTTTTTGTTGTTTAGCAGACGTTGATCGTTTGGCTACGGTAGTTTTCAAAAAAATGTGCACCTTTGCACGCACGCAAAATCCAGAGTTCCTTTTGATTCCATTGTTATAAAAGTCATTGTCCTGACTCGGAAGCAAAATTTTCCAGTTTCAAAATTAGCGGTGATCGAAAATCGATCACTTTCGACCAAATTTCCAAATCGACTCTTTTTCAGACTATTGTAGTCCCTTTCAATGGACTTTGGATTTGAATCAAATTTTGCTATTGAGGTTCAAAATGCGTTTCGAATTCATCTATAAAAGGGGTGAAAGGCGTCAAAGGCATGTAGATCAGTCATCAGAGTCACTTAGACAAGATTCACTCGATCAACTTATTGCTCATTCCAACATGCTCATCATCTGTGCTGTGATCGGGCTATATGGTAGGTTTTGCGGTGAACAGTTTGTTTATAAATAAGACACTATAATTGTAAGCTAGTGTCATCTAAATATGCAACTTGCAATCTAACGTCAGTTCTGAAAAGCTTGTAACAAGTAAGAAAGTAACTTGCAAGTAACTCTTATTTCAAAGGTTACTGGAGAACTGAGGCAGTACACCAGACTTTGTGTAAGTAACTTGAGATTTAGAATAGCTATGTCAGCTGTCAGCTTAACTTGAGGTTAACTTCTGATTATTCTCCTTAGCTAGCTAAATTACAACTCAAGATGAACACAGTTATGATAGTGATCTTTCAGCAAGCACCACGCTAGCCTCTCTCCCCATTTGTTCAAAGTGTCCAGCAGCTGGTAAATCTTTTAAACTTAACAAAAACATCAACAAGTGATCAAGCAACAAATTCCAGGCCACTGGTCAAGGTGGGAAGACTATACAAGCTGTACAGGCACGTGTGGTTTATTCGGAAGAAAAGTTCAAAAGAGGACGTGTCTCACATGGAAATGGGGATGTCCATGCCAGTGAGTAACTAAACAATTTTGTGTACCTTTAAAAAACAACCATTCAAATCTTTCCAGGGGACCATATTCTCGAACAAGACCATGTGCTCCGAAGCCATGTCCTGATGACTCGAATGCCTGTGCTGAGGGATATTCACTCGTAAGTTTTTCGTTTATTGGCTAAAGTTCTACCAGACAGCTAAAAAGACAGAATTTACCATTTCAGTACCACAACTCCAAACTCGAGGAAGTTCTCTGTGGAAACGTGACTCTGCCGAGTGACTATGTGATGCCAAAGTGTCGAATCACAAGTAATACATTGAAGATAGATCTGAAAGAAATGGTTTCAGAAGTCCTCGCACACTGTGCTTTCCCAAATCTTGGCATTTGGAGTGGCTGGAAATCGACGGCACCATGCACGGCAACCTGTGGACTCAACGGAATGGTCACTCAGAATAGAACTTGCTTGTCGGAAAGCAAAGGCCACAAATGCACGTGAGTTTTTAAGTCGCTTTTGTACACACATAAACTTTGAATCGAACAGAAGAAATTTGAGCTCTAAAAGTGAAGTGTGTTTAAATTGTCTACCACGCCGACTCTAACATCCACCAATATCTCCATTCATTTAGCGGCTCCTCAACAAGAACGATTCATTGTCCCAAACTCGCCTGTCCAGGAGATGTGTGTGCATTGAACACAAAAGCGGTTAGAGCCTTATGTTAAGAGCCAATCACTTTTTGGATTAGGTGACGAATCTTGTGACTGGCAAAAGGGTTTGCGGTGTCGGCCTGCCACAGGATCCCGTTTTGCAAATGCCCTTATGCACGGTTTGTCGGAAGAGTTAGGGAAACATTTGAAAGCATCCGAGTTCTATGGTTACACATACTTACAACTTGCAAGTACACTGTTTACTTTTCCCCATTAAACTAACCTACACTATTTTGTAGCTAATGAACTATTTAAGACAACAACCAAAAAGGCTACCACAAAGCCCACAACGAAGACAACGAAGAAGCCGACCACAACGACAACGACAAAGAAAACGACAACGACAAAGAAAACGACGACATCGACGACATCGACAACAACCACAACTACGACCACAACGACACCAGCGCTACCATGTGTCACAACTTCGGTAAACGTTGAGAACATAGGCAATTAGGTTTTTATGTTTGACACAATAAATGAGGTTGCTTAAGTAGCTTCTCAAGAATGGTTCTAGCCTATTTTAAAGCAAAAGGATCAACATCTCCAGGTACCCACCACAACCTATGCCGATTGTGCAGCTGTTGGTGGTGGCTTCATTGATGTCGGTGGATCGTGTTATCAAGCAATCTTCATCAATGACTCTTACATTGGTGGAGCTAGAGCCAAATGTCAGGCATTGAATCCCAATGCTGACTTGGGCACGATTCGATGTGATTCGGAGAATACAGGAGTTGCCAGTTAGTGATTGAGTGGTGATTGTTTTCAAAATAGGTCTTAGATCTTGTACCAGCTGATTTGAAGACTCAATGTTCAACGTTTGGAAATTTCTTCTATAGTGTGAGTTGTCCTGAAAATTTCTTTTTAACTTTGAGCTTTAGCAAATGTTATTGGGGATTAACAATGTGACAACGACGAGTGGGATTGCCTGGTCAAATGGTGCCAACTCGACTTATCGGTTTTGTACATTTTCCGTGTTTTTATCCGGCGTTTTCAGAAACTGGGCGCCAGGAGAGCCAAACGGAAACAGTCCAGCAGAAACAGATGCAGCCAGCAGTGCAACGGTATTGTTAGATCCGAATTGAGAGCACGCATAAAACTGTGACTAACTAAGAATTTGTAAACGTGAATGTAGAACATAAAAATAAGCTCTTAAAATATAAAAGAACTTGCATTGATTTGAACTTATTGGTGAAGGGTTGCGGGCAAACAATAGGTCCAAGTTTTGTATTTGCTCTGCTCTGATCAAAATCTTTCTTTCAGTTCTACATTGCGTCCACAGATCCAGCTGGTGGCACGTATCCGCTGGGACAATGGGAAAACATGCTACCAACTTGGGTGGTTTGTGCGACTCTCTGTGAAGTGATCACGGTAAGTTCTTGAAAAGAGAAAGAAAGAGAAAAACTGCCCGTTGACAACTGCATTGAAAAGCTGTTGATTCTAGGCAAAAACCGGAAATGGTTGTGGCTTCTCACCGTGCCAGAATGGTCCGTAAGATCCAATAATAAACTCTTCTTAAATATGTGCTAATAAATTGTTTTTCGACTTTTTCTTTACAAGTTCATAAATTTCAGATGAAAAATAGGCTTTTTGTCCTTGTAGCTTAAATTAAAGCAATAACTTTTTTGTGAAATGTACAGCGGTAGGGGAATTTCTGTCTACAAATTGTTACACGACTTTTCCGCCTGCTAAACACGTTAAGCTTCTATGCAAGCCATTTGAGATAAACTTCAAGTTTTATTGGAGAACGCATTTCACACTGATAACAGCGGTGGTAGTATTTGAATTTCGTGCAACCACGCCGTTGAGCTCCCATTCTTGCCACAGACCACGTCTTGACTGACCGAATTGTTTACTCCACTCCATTGCTCACAATAGAGGTATGTGGCTCCGAGGCTATCGCCTGATTCTCATACGACTGAGTTAAGTTTCGTTCCAGCTAGAAGTCACGTGCTTCCGGTTCGAAACTCACCTCAGCCGTAGGAGAGTCAGGCGATGGCCTAGGAGACACGTGCATCGCACTCGGAGACGAACCAGAAATCAAAAACGTAAAAATTGACATAATTATTGGTCAAGACTTTTGTTGGAACCTTATTCAACAAGAACCTTGGACAATTCATCACAGCGGTTTGGTGCAAATTGAAACAAAACTAGGAAAAATTAAATGTGGAGAGCTAGACTTATGTTTAAACAAGAAGGTCAGGAACACTACGAACATTTCCACAGCTATCGGTAACATAACCGTAGAAAATTTTTGGGACCTAGAAAGAATGGGCATCAATGAGTTTCCTGAAGCCGCAGCTTCAGAAAAGGAGCAACAAGAAGTTGTCACAAAATTTAAAGAAGAAGTCCAACTCGTTAATGGAAAAATTCATGTACAGGGTGCGGCATAAGTATGGTTACAATGTTGTAACATTGATTTAAAAAACTGATTGATTTTTATTTCTTACCAAAGGATTATTTTTTCTTAATTTGAATGCTTTGTTATATTATGTAGCAGTTTTTAAGTAAATTTTGAAGTTTGGACATAATGGTGAAGGCTTCTCCCAACCGTGCCGCTATTCTTCAGCTTGGAGCACAAGGACGATCAACTTCGGATATTGCCAAACTGCTGAAAATGCATCGAATGACGGTATACCGAATTTTGAAACAAAATAGAGTCGAAGAGCTTCCTAAAAGTGGACGTCCGCCAAAAATTGATCACACGAGACTCAAGAAAATCATTAAGAAACGAATCAAGCGTGATCCTGCCGGGAGCATGAGAAAAATGGCTCCCCAATTGAATGTTTCTGATAGAACTATCCGTCGTATCGTCAAAAAGAATTTGGGTCTTCACCCTTACAAGTTAAGGAAGCATAATGGCCTGACGGATCTTCAAATGAGAAACAAGAAGCAAAAATGTGCTCTTCTTCTTGCAAGGGCCGCAAATGATGAACATCTGACGACGCTTTTTACCGACGAGAAATTATTCAACATTGAACAAGTTTTCAACTCGCAAAATGATCGAATTTTGGTTCACTGCCCTCAAGAAGCAAATAAAAGTGGCCGATTTGTGGACAGGAACTCACATCCGGCAGGAGTCATGGTTTTTACAGGGGTGTCAGCAACTGGTCGCACACCGTTGATTTTCGCTGATAAAGGGCTGAAAATTAACACAGGCGTGTATCTGGACGTTCTCACAAAACATGTACAGCCGTGGAGTCAAGGACATTATCAAAATCGGCGCTGGACGTTGATGCAAGACGGCGCCCCAGCGCACAAAGCAAAAAGACTCAAGAGTGGTGTCGAAACAATTTGCCCGACTTCATTCCCGCCAATGAATGGCCAGCTAATTCGCCCGACCTCAATGTTATGGATTTCTGTGTTTGGGCAATTTTGGAGCAAAAAGCATGCACAACAAAACATGCAAACGTTGAAAGTCTGAAAAAGGCTCTGAAGAAAGCCTGGGCGGAAATTCCACAAAGTACCCTGCGGGCCGCCGTTGAAAGTTATCCAAAGCGTCTTAAAGCCGTTATCAAGAATAAAGGTGCCCATATTGAATAATTTGTTATTTTTTAAATGAATATGATTACTGTTGTTAATTTTAAATAAAGTTTACATGAATCCGTTCATATTTCATTACGATACACGGCTCTGAGTCTGTAACCATACTTATGCCGCACCTTGTAAAGTTCCCTTGGATAGAGAAAAATCCTAAAATTGATGATAATTTCCAGCCTGCGATGCAATACTTGCATAGCCTCATCAAGCAACTTAAAGGAAAACCAGAACTTTTGGTAAAATATAATGAAGAATTCCAAAAACAATTGGAACAAGGAATCCTAGAAGAAGCACCAAGAAAAATTGAAGGCCCAATCAGCTTTTATATACCACATCAAGCGGTAATAAAAGAAGTCTCGAGGACCACAAAGCTAAGAATTGTTTTGAACGCAAGTGCGAGCATGAAAGGGCAGAAATCGCTGAACCAAATCATGCACCAAGGCCCGTCATTGATCCCAAACATGATCGGAATCTTGATAAGATTGTGGACATATCCAATATTGCTTACAGCCGATGTAGAGAAAGCCTATCATCAAGTTCACCTACAAAGTTCCGAAAAGGATGCAGTTCGCATATTGTGGTTGAAAGATTACAAACAACCCGTTTCTTTCCAGAATTTGAGAGCTTTAAGATATACACGGACACCATTTGGTGTTAAAGCCAGTGCCTTTCTACTCACAATTTCAATACTACACATGTTAGAACAAAATTACCCCGAACTGAAGGATGAAGTTGCTAAAAATATGTACGTCGACAATCTTTTTGTCGGCGCATATAGCGAGAAAGAAGCTATTCAAAAATATAAGATTTACAAGGATGTCTTCAGAAAAATGAAGATGAACATTCGAGAATTCACTAGCAACAACAAAATTGTGCTAAACTCGATTGAAAAGGAAGATAAAATCGTGGAAAGCTCACCAAAACTGCTAGGAATGACTTGGGACAGCGACAACGATACTTTATCGCAAATAGTCCAAATCAAGGCGGAACGACCGTTAACCAAGAGGAAAATAATCCAAGCTATTGCAATGAATTATGACTCATTGGGAATCGCTACCTCATTGCTAGTTGAGGCTAAAAGTTTTTATCAAAGTTTGTGGTCTATCAAAGACTTAAAATGGGATCATCAACTACCGGAAAAAGAGAGTCAGCAATGGGAAGAAATTGAAAGCAAGTTTGGTAAAGAAACAAGAATCACGATCCCAAGGTTCATCTTTACGACACTTCAAAGAGATTACACAAGAATAGCGACCTTTGCTGATGCATCGGCAAAAGCCTTCGCAATTGTCGCATACCTGCAATCAAAAACTAGTGGAAGATTTGAGTCATCGATAATCTTTGCAAAGAATCGGTTGAACCCTAAGAAAGTCATTCCCACAATCCCAAAAATGGAATTGTTAGCCCTAGAATGTGCTCATAAGCAGATCCAATACCTATTGAAAGAAATAAAATTAAAGATTGATCAAATTGTCATTTGCGGAGATTCAAAAGTGGCACTGAAATAGGTCACCCAAGAAAAAACAAGGGATAAAGCAGGAAAATTTGTTCAGAACCGGACAAACAAAATTGCCCAGGTTCAAGAAGAACTAAAGGCATTGCAAATCTCAGTCAAATTGTTTCATGTCTCTGGAAAGTTAAACCCAGCTGACTACGGCACCAAAGGAATCACCGCCGAGCAACTACATAAAAGCGTATGGTTGGAAGGCCCACAATTCCTACAAAGTGATGAAAAATTTTGGCCAAAAGAAATTCAACGGTTCGAAATTCCAAATTTCTCTCAAAGTGTTGAAGAGGAAGCCAAGAACACTTTGATTCTAACAGAAATCGTAACCGAAAACCAAGAAATTCTAATAGAAGAACAAAGATTCGAAACCTATTACAAACTGGTCAAGACAACAGCAATGTTTCTTTATTACATAAACCGCTGGATGAGGAAAATTAACAAACTACCCATCAATCCTGTGTTGAAGCCAATTCCATCGTGTCGAGTAGATCCGCGAAGTGGCGACAACATCATTGATAGACCGGCCGATTTCCTAAAAAATGCAAAGTTACTTCTCATAAAACAACATCAAAGTGAAAATGAGAAAAAATTGAAAGAGAAGGCACGTGAAGTTGAGAAGGACGAATGGGGAATTTACCGAAAGGTTGACAGGATGTCAGAGACATTTAGAGACTTTCAAAATTCAAAACCAATTGTAATTTTGCCGAATAGCCGTTTTTGCACACTACTCATAAGACATCACCACAAACAAATGGGACATGCAGGCACTGCCTCAACATTAGCAAGCACTCGTCAAAGATTTTGGATTTACAAAGGGCGGCAAGCAGTCAAAAAAGACACACAAAGTTGCGTCTTATGCAAATATTTTAATGGGCTCCCATACAAGCAACCGGCATGGGCACCTTACCCAAAGATTCGAACAAATCGCAGTTTGCCATTTGAGAATACCGGAATAGATTACATGGGTCCAGTATTGATCTACGACTCAGCACTAGACGTCGAAATAGACGTATGGCTCGTTCTGTTCACATGTGTGTACAAGGAATATTCACCTAGAAATTGTAGATTCATTACGAACCAGCACGTTTCTAGAAAGTCTGAGAAAATTTTGCGCTCGTCGTGGAAAACCTAAACTCATTCTGACAGATAATGCTAAAACATTCAAACTGGCGGACAAATTTTTAAAGAATGCAAAAGAAATCGAGGGAAACTTCGTGAATATCCAAACCCTAGCCGATTATGGTATACAATGGAAATTTACAGTTCCACATGCACCGTGGCAGGGAGGGATATATGAAAGATTAATCGGTTGTGTCAAACTAGCACTGGGAAAGATAAAACACGGAAGAGGAATATCCAAGCAACTACTGGAGGTTATCATAGTAGAAATTGAAGGCTTTGTCAACAGCCGCCCCTTGACTTACTTAGACGAAGAAAAGTCAGAAAGA